GCAATAGCCAAAAATACACTGTATGGGTCAAAATATTTATTTTTCTTTTATGCCAAAAATCATTAGGATATTAGGTAAAGATCGTGTTCCATGAAGATATTTTGTAAATTTCCTACCGTAAATATATCAAAACTTAATTTTTGATTAGTAATATGCATTGCTAAGAACTTCATTTGGAGAACTTTAAAGATGATTTTCTCAATATTGAGATTTGTTTGCACCCTCAGATTCCAGATTTTCAAATAGTTGTATCTCGGCCGAATATTGTCCTATCCTAACAAACCATACATCAATGGAAAGCTTATTTATTCAGCTTTCGGATGATGTAGAAATCTCAATTTCGAAAAATTGACCCTTATGACTGGTTTTGTGGTCCAGGGTCACAAATAGCTACATAACACACTAAAGAAAAGGACAAATAGAAATTGCATCATATGACCCCTTTAAGTATTAAACAAGTATTAAAAAAGTACTAAACTATATATATATATATAATGCACTCGGCGGTCCAAAGACCTGCTCTATCCAAACCTCTGTTCAGACACCTGCTGTGACTTTACTTCAGAAGTGCAATCTCCACGAACAGGCACCTGTATGCACAGTTAAGAATGCATCAGTATTTATTGCCATTTGATAAATGGACTTTCTGCAGGAGTTCTAACACTTGCTGTTGCATGATTTGTCTCGCTAGAAGCTAAATTGTTAAGTCTGTAATGGTGCTTCCACTTCAGCATTAATTTAATTTATTTGACAGATTTAGGACTGCATAAAACTGAAATTGCGATATGGCTTAGTGGCTTCATTTTTATTTAGTAATAATTATTATTGTCAGAATTGCAATATGGCTTAGAGCAATTATCAAATCAAAAAGGCTGCAATTTATTTAAATAATAATAATAATTATTATTATTATTATTATTAGTAGTATTATTATTATTATTATGTTGGCCAAATTGCCCTACAAAACAAGCACAGCAAACCTGGAATTTTTTTAAATCACATTTACTCGCATTTTAAATCGATGGAAGCTTGTTTCCAAGCTTGATAATTGCGACTTTTATCTCGCAATTCTGACTTTTTTCGCAGAATTGTGAGATGTAAACTCGCAATTGCAAGAAAAAAAGTCAGAATTGTGCATTTTTATTGAGTGGCGGAAACGAGCTTTCATATAAATTGCAATCGCCCTACAACAGATGCAATAAAGTCACATATCAGAGACATTTTTTTCTCCACAAACACCGCTGCAAACATACAATCTGACTGTGTCGTGGTCAGTCACGTGTGCTTTAGTTTCCTTTACTGAAGCTGGTAACTTGTACTTTTACCACACTAGGGATGTAACGGTATGAAAATTTCTTATCACGATTATAGTGACCAAAATTATCATGGTTATCAGTATTATCACGGTAAAAGTACCGACACATAAATCAGTTCACCAAGTTTTATATTTAAAAATCAACAAACAACAAATAAAAAAGATTTTTTTGTTTGCATAATCACTAAAACAATAACATTACCGATGATGTTCGGATTTTAAATGATAACTTGACTGACAACAGTTCAATAGCATGTTGAAATATCTAATCTAAATGTTCAAATAAAGCTTTGAAAAAGTTTCATAAAAAGGTAAACCTCACATTTCAGCCTTTAAATAAAGAAAAGATATAAGTCAAAATGATATTTGATTAATAAATGATTATATGTATTTCATCTGCTCCATAAATAATTCTAGATAACTTTGCTGAATTGTTTAAATGTGTAGAATCCACATAAGCTTGTTTTTCATCTCTGTAGGTCATTTGTACAAAGAAGTTAATATGCTCACTAATTTGATTTATTGTATAACAACACAACAAGCGATCAAGCCCTCAGTCGAGTCATCCCTGATATGAGACATCTGGTTTGTGCTGTGTGTGTCCAAGCAGCTGGCTGTTTACATGCATCAAATGGACAAGTACAACAAAATCAAACCAGGCCATTAGCAGAACAGCACTAACATAATGTTGCTTGGGAGCAACATGCAAATGATGCAGGGAAAAATGTGCAAATATTGCTCACTCCGCTTTGCCAAAAAAGCCACATCAAATAAATCCACTGCGGTACTTTGTGCATCTGTAACTCTTCCTAAACAGATCAAAACATGAGAGAGAGATGCTTGCGCTGATATTTCAGTATTTGTTCCCCTCATAAAAGAACATTAGCCGAGACTGATGTGCTGCGAACAGGCCTCAGTAAATTGTCTCAGGGCAAATAAATAAATGCGCTGTGCAACGATGCTCCCGAGACACACCGTCCATAAAAAGCCTGAATTGCTGCTGTGATAAAGCACCCAATTTATCCCTACACTGTAAAAAAAAAATCTGTAAAATTTACGGTAAAAAACCGGCAGCTGTGGTTGCCGGAATTTTACCGTAAAAAATACGGTAGCAACATTTTAGGTTTTACGGTTTTAACTCAAATTTAAAGTTAAATACCGTAATTTCATTTACTGATATAATGTTAATATACCAACCTA